CTTAAATGTAAATCACATGTTCTGGGCCCGGCATGGCCAGGTGGTTGGGGCACTTCAGCTCATAATCTGAGGGTTGCGGGTTCAAATCCCTGTCACAAGAGATGATTTGGGTCAGAATTTCATGTTCTCAGTGTAGTGCTGCAGTGATTTGTTATTGTTCCAATAAATCACAATATTTTCCCTCACAATATTTTTATAGTATTGTGGCCATGGCATTGTAGATCCCACGACACATGGGGCCATCAGTGCCAACTCTTCTATAGAATGTGAAATTGTCTATTATATGGATGGTATGCTCAATCTGTAGCTATGATCACTTGCTGCACATGTATGAAAAACTTAGCCTCATCAAAATAATGGCAATATATTGTTACAAGCATTATATATATACATGATCCCTGCAGTGCTTGGTTTTGAATTGAAATGTCATTCCCCAAGTTTTCAATTAGAAATTAACACAATTGGTATGCTACTTAATGTCCTTGCAACTCTTTAACATCAACTTTGTCGGATTCTAATCCACTAATCAAACGTGATGAACCAATTGTCCCACAGGTTGTTGCAATACCAAAAATCAGCTGACATAATATCATGATTTATGTATCATAATACATATCATTTTGCTACAGCTCAACCTCAATGTATATTTTTTTATACAGGTGTAAATTAACTCTTTGGTATCATATTTAGACAAATAATTTTGACATTGAAATAGTAAACTGAGATGAAACATAATATGAAGGATTTTACTATTTTGAATTTTTTTCTTTTATGTAGTCATTCCAAGGAAGTCAGGGTCGTGCCTATCTCTTCAACTCTGTGTAAGTATAACTGGAATAGTGTATCATTTATACGGGGGAGGAATAAATCTTGATATGAGATACACTTAATTTCTTTTTTTTTCTTGTTGTTAAAGTATAAGTTTTAAAACTAAAATTGTAATGGCACTCTGATCACTATTGTATAAACAGTTTATTAGGAAAGAAAAGTGCTTCGTAATTTAAGCTGTTTAATAAATGCAGATCTTCTCTTATGCTTGTGTTTTGCAAGTGTAGTAGGAAATAGTACTCTGATCACATTTTATCTCTTGATTGTCTTTTCTTTATCTGTAATAAATGTTTAAGTATCTGAAATGTTTTACTGACATTTTTCAAGACATGGTATCAGTTACTTCTTCCCTTGTGTTAAAACAGAGATGTAATTTTAATATGGTTTATAAGTAATTATTTTATCTGTTTCAGTTAAAACAAAAAGTACCATCAGGTCTGCTGCCTCCAAATTTCAAAGCAAAATGGGTTAATAATCATACTTATAGGTTAACTAAATAATATTTCAACTTCAGAATAAGTAATTTCATTTTAAAATATTTCATTTATACCCAATTTAGGCTTACTGTAAACACTATACACTCATAATTTTTGGCATCTGCATTGGGACATATGCATGTATGTTTCTTGGTCATTATGATTTTATTTTCTTTATGTGCATCACATAGCGTCAATGTGGGCTGTGGACCAGCTGAAGAAAGGGTGCTGTTGACTGGTTTACATGCTGTTGCAGATATCTATTGTGAATGCTGCAAGACCACATTGGGCTGGAAATATGTAAGCTACTAAACATTGTGTACTCTGAGGTGATTCTCAGCAGATTAATTTAGAAATAAAACTCAACATTGAAATAAAATTAGAAAAAAAAAGTTAAATATACAGGAATTAGTTTTTAGTTAATTTGTATCATGAATGGTGTTTTTTATTTTGTTATAAAAAATATCAAGCATATACTTACTGTATTGTATATAATTATGTATTGGCTTTTTTACCTCTTATCTCTAATCCTGTTTTGTTTTATTTCATTTCTGTACAAAATATTTAATTAAAGTTGGTAAATGTGTATGCTGTCATTGTATCATTCAGGATCCACGTTTATTGCAAGTTAAGTCTAGAATGGATCGTGTTAGTTTTACAAAAACCATAATTGCATTTTATAAGTCTGATTCTAGTTAATTTTAATAAACCAGCATCTGTAAAAACATCATTTTTCTCACCAAAAACATATAAATTGCTAATTAAATATGGAAAATTACTAATAAATAATTTAGTTACTTAGAAATTTTTATGAAGAATCTTTTAAATGCTAAAAACAACTTTAATTGGAGTGTGAGCTCTAATTCATAAAGGACTAAACACAACATTTAGCATATAATCAGCCAAGAGTCAACTGTAAATGTCCTGTAAGTTAACACTTACATTGTCAATTATTTTTAAATTATTGAGAATAACAATAAAATAATTAAGTACATATTTAAATGACAAAATGATCTACTACATTAACACACACACACACACACACACACACACACACACACGTACACACAGGCTGATTATTCAAATTATAAAGGTATGTGCCACCATTAACACTCAAGTTATTCAGGTGCATTAGGTCTTAAGAATGGTACAATTTTAGTTTTTACAGCATATACTTTCCACTTTCAATAATCTAAAAAAATATAAAAAAGCAATATCTCAATTTTTATCCATACATATAATTTTTATCTTTATATCAAAAAAATTTAAATTGTAATCTTTCAATTATAGCTAATTTTTGCTCTACACTGTACAATCTACAGCATTTAAAACATTATTTAAACGAATATAGACTGTGTATGTTATTAATTCTTTTTATTACACACAATTGAGTTTTCTTGATATTTTTTTAACTGTCTTACGAAATAAAAATAAACATTTTATTGGTAGGCAGCTGCATTTTACATTTGGCTTGATATGGCCTGGTGAGTAGGGCACTCTATTCTCAAGCTGCAGGTTACAGGGTCAAAACTTGGCACCAAACATGCTCTCCTTTTCAGCTGTAGGAGTATTATAATGTGATGGTCAATCCTACTACTCAATGAGAGTAGCCATAGAGATGGCTGTGGATGCAAAATTAAGGACAGAAGTAAATATCCTTAGTAGCTTTACCATAAACAAACATTGCAGATTCCAAACACATTTCTTTACTTGATCAATAACACATCAGACAGTTGTTGATCAAATACATTTACCTTTCTACACTTAAACTGTGGATTAAAAATTTTACTTTAAACTTAATATTAGGATGTTTACCAATAACTTAGTTTGATTTAAATAAACATTGAATGAAATATCTCATTTACTCCAGATCTCATTAAGTAATTTTATAAGCAGTTTTACAATAGTTATTCAACATAAAACTGAAATTCTTAAAATTTTTCCTGTAGTTGTCGTACTTTATTGGTAATTTTCTTAATACTAAAGTATTTTGTTTTGATAGTTTTCAACAGGTCCACAATGTTATTTTCTTTATTAGTCAGAAAGACATGGCTTAACAGAGATGAAGGCAGGAACTTTTCTTTTTAAATCTTATTATTTTGAAATTAAGGTACTTGTAGAGATGTAACATTGAAATTCTTAGCTTTGCAGATTCTGTACCTTTTGTTTTTATTTACAATACTATTTTGCTAGACTGCAAAACAAATTATGATTACTCCACAGACACATTCTGTAACAATTTAAAAGTTGGATCATTGCTAGATATTATCTCTATGTTCATTGTCCTTAGTGTTTGAGTGTTATTGATTTAATACCCTTTGTAGAAACTACTGAATGCTGTTAACAATATTGAGATCTGCATTGCATGTATAAATTCATAAGTATTGAACAACTGTAAGGAAAACAATTTTGATGTTTATACAAACAACTAAACATAGTTACTTACATGTGACAGGAAAGTAATTTAAAAAATCCCACATAAAATTGTTTAAAACATTAAAAAAATTACAACTAACAATATAAGAAGTTCAGTCTGATTCAAGAAAAGCACCCAAAAACATCAAATTATTGGCAGTTGGTGAAATTAATAGAAATACAATAGAAGAGAAGAAAACAGCTACGTAAAATATGGATTTGCCAGAGAACTCTTAAACTATGGTAAAAGAAATTAGACTGATCCAACTGAATAAAAGATCATTACCTAAAAAATTAACTATGCAGGCATAGCATTCACAGATTGTTAAAAAAAAAGTAATAAATTGATACTTTGAATGAAGGTTCATGTAAGATAATATAAATTTGATACAAACTTATGGCATAAGCATATTAAGAAAAATTACACAGGCCATATGAAATGCAAATGAAAAACTCATTAATTCTCTATATTCGGGCTTGATCACTTTGACTGACCATGTAACCTTGGAATCATACATACTATAACTTTGAATATAATAAGTGCACCTTCACAAAAAATTAGCAAGCTTTAATAAACATTACAAGTCTTGTAAAAAAAAAAAAAAAAAAAAATATTTTTTAATAGAATATTTTTATAAAAGATTTGTCTCTGACTTTACAAAGCCTCTACTGAGTTAATGTGAGTGCAAGGTGATCTTCATGTTAAGAATAGAAATATTTATTGTCATCTTACAGTTTTTGTATTTCATTTGCATAACCTCTAGAACCCTCCCTTTATATTTTGTTATTTTTTCTGTCCTAACATTTTTTACCACAGTAAAAATCAATAAGGTAAAATAAAGTTGAAAAATACAAAATAAACCTAAATTACCCTTTTGTCCTTTTAGAATGATTACATATTGTAACAGACAGTGACATGCTATTTTATTCTTATAGCCCAAACTAATAAGGTTTTTAAATCTCTGGGTAATTTAGCTTTATTGCTATAGGGCTGCATCTAGACCCTCTCAGAGCAAAGCAAAACCCATTTAGTACAGCAGGAGAGCTTTGTGTAAATAAAGGATTGCATTATCAGCACACATGATCAAATTACAATCACACTTTGCACATTGCCTTTCTACATGCACATGATATCATGAATAATTATTTAATTTTTTTCATTTATGTTTTCTTATCGTACCTAACAAGTTTATAATCTTTTTTACATTTAAATTATTTGTATAACAATAAATAAAAAATATACAAATATAAAAGAGAATTGTAGTACTTAAATGTGAATTAAGGGCTTTTATTGCCTATGGGGCTAGGTACTCTGAGCCTAATTTTTTGTGATGATAATGGTTGTGAAGAAAATGTTCATTTATTTAAGATATGCAGTTTAGCACACAAAATATTAACATGTATAAGAAATAAAATATCCTAATTAAACTACTATAATTTAACTGACTTTCTAACTAAACCATAAATGGACTAAATAAATTCTGTTAGTCTTAGCAGAACCTGTACTATAAATGTGTAATATGTGTCAAACTCATAAAATCGTATAGGGTTAGAAAGAAAATCTAAAATGGGCAATTTGGAGCAAAGAAGTGTCATGTGATACAGAAAATTGAAGACTGAGAATTTTTTTAAATATTTCTATTTGAAATTAAGAAATTAAAATTTTTAATAACATTTGAATTATGAACTACATTTTGATGCCAAGTTTACTAATATGACATTGATAGTAAATTTAATTAAATGTTAAATGTAACTGTGTAGAAAATAAAAGGTCACGAAATATGCACTTTGATCCCCCATGCACTTGGGCGGTTAATCTGCAAACCTTTAAGTGATCACTCTGATCTTACACTAACTAAAAAAAAAGACTACAAGTGTAAAATATGTATAGAGATAACAAAGCATAGCAGTAATAAGCCATAGAAAAAAATATTTTACTAGCAATCCAATGGTCACTTATTGTAAATCTTTGTGTTGGAAAATCCATTTGTAGAAAACATTATTTCTACTTGCATCCAGAGTATTATAGAATAACAATCTGTGTATCTTCTAGTAGTACACATCAAAATAAAATACAATGCCAAGCATACTGTATAGACTAATTTGATCAATTATATTTTACTGTTAAACACTAATAAATCAAATCATATGGATAAAATATAATTTTACACCACAAAATGTTTTGCCGTAAATTATGTACACACACACACACACACACACACACACACACACACACACACACACACACACACACACATATATATATTAATATATATATAGAGAGAGAGAGAGTTGCACACACACTTCACTACATACCAGGTCTCAACAAGTCCTGGGCACTAGGTCGCCATGGCAACTTAAAATTTCATCGTGGTGCCTAATATTTTCTCCCAATTTATTCTTGCCTAGGGATTTGCTAAACTTGAATCTACAACAGTTCTGGACTCTTGGAAGTGTGGAACTAGTTTGTAGTTTTTCGAGTCCGAAATTGAGCTTTGTTTCTAGGATTTTAATGGTGGATTCAGCACTTCATTTTCCTTTCAGGAATGAAGTGCTGTGGTTGCACAACACATTGCTAGTTTTGCGCCATTTTGTTTTTCTTCTTTCTCTTAATTGAACTAATCACTGCACGTGTTTAGACACAGACAGAACCAAAGGCAGTTAGTTCAGGCAATACTATCAAGTGATTGTTGATATCATATGATCATTAGCATGCACTCATTGCTGTGAAAGTAAATAAATATAGCCCCCTAGTTCCCAGTACAAACAGTAGTGAAGTTAGGTTAGGCACACCAAAAGGCCCTTGCTTATCATTGTACAGTGTTGTAGTGATGAGTAGATTAGACCTAATCTGAAACAACCTGCTTGGCCTATCAATATCACAGTGATTATTTTTATCTTACTTTCATTCATTGCATGAATCCACCTGAATTATAGGTATTTAGTCTACTATTTTAATAATTGCACATATTGAAATTTAACTTTAATATATGTTATATAATAAAGTTTAATAATGAACTCTCCGTTTTTTAGTGTAAAACTGTATGTCTTCCATAACTTTTCTATATCAGACCTGGCTCCTAAGTTTTTGGACTGGCTCCTAGATCTGAAAATATTTGTTGAGACCTGATATGTACACTTTTTAACATGTTGATGATGATATGAAAAATATAGTGATTGTTTGAAGATTAAATAACAAAAAATGGTTATTATCAGGAACATGCCTTTGAATCCAGTCAGAAATACAAAGAGGGAAAGTTCATCATCGAGCTGGCTCACATGATTAAAGAAAATGGATGGAATTGACAGTGTTGTAGGATAAGGTTTGATAGATGTTTAGCTGGAACTAACCATGAAAACCTCCAGATTGTGTGTTGATTTATTAGTTTTCAGTTTTGGGAATGAGAAGAAATAGTGCATACCATTGATGCTGGAACATTCTGTCATGCAGGCCCTGGCATTTGCATAACACATGAAGAGAGAGATTTACATGTGTATCTTATTCTCAAGTTAACAGTGTCTATATTTGAAATGTTTTACTACTGACAGTGGCATATCTTGCTCATTCATTTCTGATGTGATCTGCTTTGTCCTAAAAAATATTTTCATCAACAAAGTGTATTTCTCTTCAAACTTTACTTACTGACAAGTTTTTTTTTATCATCATCTCGGGCATCTGTAGATACGTCTTAAATGCAGATGAGACACTAAAATAAAAGTAACACATTTTTGTACATCTGTACCATTCTACCATTAGAATTGACTACTACAAGGGGTTGTGCAGTCTCATTTTCTTTTTAATGTTTTTTTACTATTTAGTTTTTGAAGATATGATTTTTGTCTGTCATTGTAAATACTTGTGTATCTATATATATAATTCATTTTTTTTTATAGAGTTCATTGTGGCTTTGGTAAAGAGGCTTTAAATTTTTAGTTAATAAGTATCCAAAAAGATTTGAAAATTATAAGTGTAGCATTTAAGACTAAAGATTGGATTTGTTCTTGTAAAAAATGATGATAAATAAACTGTGTATGTTCGTACTGTTACATGTTATGTACAGTTGTAAGTGAATGGATAGCAGCTTGTTTGTCCCTGATACATTGCTTAAATTCATGACTTTATTTTGCAGTATGTACAACATATCATCATATTTAACATGTTAAAGCCTTAAAAATGGTTTAAGATTCTTTCCATTTGCCTAAGAGTTCTTAAGGAAATATTTTTTCACCATTGTATTGCCATTTATGTGATAACAGAGTAGATTGAAATATAAGAGATACACTTGTGTACCTTAAGTTTTTTTAAAGAGTCATTACTGTAACTTTGCATTTATAATATGTAAAAATAAATGTGAAGGTGATAAATGAACTTGTATTATTATATTCCATAATAACTTAATGGCAACCCTTTAGTAAAAATATTTCATTGTAAAATGCCCCGACCTATTAATCAGGTTAAACAAGACAGGTATTAAGATAAAATCTTTTTTTTTTGTTATACTTAATGTAGCTTCAAAATGTAATTTCAATATGGATCTAGATTATTTTATATAAATGAAAATAGCTATAATGATTATTCCACTTCAAAAACAGACTGTCCGTATGAAAAATTACAATATGCTGCAGTAGGTTTGGTGTAAAGTTAGTTTTATTCTGAAATTTTTAACTTGTGATCAAAGTGCACTTGAAGCAAATTTGTGTTTTAGTTGATAAAATGAGTAATACTAAATTAGATTTACCTATTTATGTGCATAAAGATTTCATTGCAATATAATGTATCAAACATTTTGTTTAATACTTTTAATCAGTTTTAAAATCATTAACATTAAAAACTTTTTATGCATATGTTTTTTCTTTGCAGAAAATATAAGTTATTCAAGGACTACAGTGTTTTTCTTCCTATTGTTGTGAACAGTTCACGATAAATTCAACTTTTTTTTTTCTTTTTATTAGCCACAAGGTATCCTACCTGTTTCCTAAGAGCAAGATTTTGGCTTGTAAATGTATAAAATTCTGTTGTTCTTGCAACACACATTACTGGAAAAATTCTTTAGCTGCATTTTGTTGAAAATTTATTTCTCTATTAATTTGACAGGATTATAAACTGTTAATCATAAGTTTATTTTTCAACACCATTCATTTTTGAAATTATATTTTGTAATGTTTAGATAAGATTTCAACTGTGTCAGTCTGTTTTGGTTTCCAGAGGACTTTTCATAGAACTCTGAAAATTTTGCACATTTTCAACCTTCAAAGTGGGAGGTGGTACTAGACATTTTATAATATGCAAAATTTTATGGAAAATTAAAACAAAAAACCCACTTAATGACTGAATTACTAATTACTTTTTGGCAACTTTTAGTTATTTCCTTCAAACTTTCTTATTACAGTCGCTTTTCTAAATTTATAGCTTGGTAGTATAGTGAGTTTTTGCATTTTTATGTCCTTTTTTTGGTATACATAACTAGGATTATGTTAAGCTTTATTAATTTAAAGATTTGATTGATCTAAGTTTGAAGCCATTCAGTATATATTGAACCTATAAAATCGCCAAGACACAAGTTTGATTGAGACAGTAGAGGTGAGCATAGAAATTAATTTCTTTAGCTGTTTTGGACATAAAATTGTGTTGAATTGTGAGTTTGTTCCTTTGGGGATAATTTGCACTATATTTGAAGTATTAATTAATTTCTCAAAATTTTAAAAAGCACAAGGTAATGTCTCAACGTGAGCCATATTTTGTTTCATGGTGCTCAGATAATCCTAATGATGCCACTTGCTACAGATTTATGCGTAGATTAATTTCCCTTTGTAAAATGTACATTTAATATGTAACTCTTCAGAAATTTCTTGTTGGTTTTATCTGACCTATATTGTTTTTTATATCAAAGATCATATACTGAAGTTAAGTTACCTTTGAAACCTCTGAACTCTTACAACCAATAAGTTTTCATAATTTTTTATGTTCAAGTTCAAAATATTCAAGCCAAAATTATCCATAATTTGCTAGATATGATATAGACAGATTTAAAATTTAAGTTATGCAGTAGGTTATTAGAAAATATATATTTCTATATTTCATTACCAAAAAATGACAAATTTAGTTGTTAGTAAAAAAAACAAACATCGTACCTAAAAATGGCCAAGCACTTTTTTCTGAAGATTTTTAAATGTTTGACTCATGTTTGTTGGTAGTTTCTATCTTTAACAATCATTGTACCATAAATTACAAGATGATAAAAAACATATAACCCTAGCGCTTTCAAACAGTTTGCCCCTGATGAAGAAAGGGCCACCTTTTGAAAGTGCTCGGGTTATATGGTTTTTATCATCTTGTATCAAGACTTCTTGAACCTTCAACCAACTTAATCTTTTTTGTAATTAATTATTTCAAAATCAAAATTTCAATGTTCAACTTATGTTTGTGTGCTATAGTGTGAAATCCACTACAGTCAACCACTGTGATCTATTTTGGAATCAAATACGTTTTGAATAGGAAAGATGTATATAAATGTAGACAGAACAATATTTGCATGATTTGGTGATAATCTGTGAACACTAATGAAAAGGCAAGTTAATAAGTGTCACTGCAACTTGAACAGTCATTTAGTGCTCTCTGTTCCAACTTATATAAACACCAGCTGGTGTAAGATTGGTGGCAGATTTTATTTATTTATGTACATTCGTTTTTAATGTAAGACTATTATATTTTCAAGTGTTCAAATAAAAAGCACTATTCAATCACCAACAAACAATTGTTGTTCAATCAGAGCATATTTTTTTCTTTAAGACAGCATTGATTTTTTTATAAGAAAAGTATAGACTTTGTTTGTTAATTAGAATATTAGTAGCAACTTGATAAGTGTTTAAGGAAAAAGTCATTATAAAAGGAAACATTATTAAGAATCATTTTATGAAGTCGTAATGTATATTTCATGTTGTGGATGATAAATGTTAGTTATTTTGAAGTAGTGTGTGTAATGGAATCTGGAGAAAATTTAAAGTATCTTCAGTTTCATATTTTAAGTTTTGAAAAAATATTTTGATTTCATTATAATCTACATCACTTAGCTAGTGAATTTTTTAAAGCTTGTTCATACTGTAAAACCAAGGCCACAGTCAACAGTTTAAGTATTATAATAAAATATTCTATGAGAAAAAAGCCACTGTTTTATTTTCATCATTTGCTGAAAAAGCACAACTAAGTTAACAAGAATTTATTTTTCTTCGCAAGCAATTTCCCATTACTGATGTGAAATAAATTTGGCTTCCAATAAATCTGCATTGTCAAAAAAAAAAAGAGATCCACAGAAAATCCAATATTTTTTTGTGTAAATGTATAGTTGATCCCCTGATTAGGTAGTTTCACAAATTGCTCATAGTATGCAAAACTTGACAGTAGCAGCATGAAATAGGTTACATCTTTACTTTTCTAAAAATTTACATACAGTCAGTCCTCGTTATTTGTCACTTCATTAATTCGTCGTTTGAAAATAAGTTAACTTTGTACTCAATATGTTGTCTTCAAAGCGTACTAGCTGCGATTTACAGTGACAGCTCAACAAGGAGACTTATGGTGAAGATGGCATATCCATCGGGGAATTTTGGCACAATTATAACATCATGAAGGCAGTGAAAAATATCTGAAAGTCATGAAGGGAAGTGACTGTCTAGTTCGTGAACAGTGCGTGGAAAAAAGCTCTGGCCTGACAGCATAAATGACTTCGTTAGTTTTGAACCTGATATGCCTCAAATTCACAATAACATTGTCCAGCTTGCACAACAGACTGGTTTCAATGACGATGATGTGGAGGAGTTACTAAATTCTCATGAGGAGAGTTTAACAAACTAAGACCTCATAGAGCTGACTCAAGCTGAAGACGTGACTGCAAGTGATGCTGTTAAAGAGGTTTCACAAGATCGTTTTTACATGCAAATGCTCTCAGACATCTTTAATAAGGTAAATGAAGCAATGAAAATCGTCTCTGAAAATGATCCTGACATGGAGTGCAGCAATGCAGTGGCAAGTAAGATGCAGGATGCAATTTCTTGTTACCAAGACAACTTAGCATCACTTCTTTCATTAAGAAACAGGCAGCTACACTTGTACTGGTAGAGGAAGAGATAGATAATCCTGCTCCTTTCCCCATTAATTCCCAACCACTCCCACACAGAATCAGCATCGAGATCATCCCTGGTGAGTATTGTGCATAAATTATGCATTTTAATTAGTTAAATTTATTAGTAATGTATTTTTTCCAGGCGATACTGTACGTTGATGCATTTTGCAATATATTATTGTAAAAATAATAAGTAAAATTATGTCCGTTTATTATAGAATCATTTTTGTTTTCGGAATATATCTTCCATGTATTATATGAAAGTCAATGGGTTAGTGGGCTCCGTTGTTTGTTGTGGCCCTCAGGAACACATCCACGACAAATAATGAGGATTGGATGTAGTTACTTTTTGGCTGATGAATAATACTAATTTTTAATAGTGGCTTTTTTTGTTGTTGTTGTTGTTAAGATTAAGTTGGTTTTAAGTAAAGCCTTGTACAGAAGATTATGTAATCTCTGATCACTTTTAAGGCTTCACCTTTATTCTTACTATTTTAATGCTAGTATCAGTCTATCATTTGCAATAACTTGTGTACCTGAATTAATGATTGTAAGAAGGGCAACCAGTGTTTGTGGATCAGAGAAATCTTGCAGACCAAGACCTGCTTATCTGCTGGCTTGACATGTTACACTCTACAAGTCCACATGACCTTTTGACCTTAACAGTTAAAGCATAAAAATTTAAATCCTTTGTTCATGTACAATATGCCTACAAAATTTCAAATTAAAAAATCTTAAATTAAAAAATACACATAATGTGCACCATTAAAATGTATGTCAGCATAAACAAAACTAAAAATGGAAAAGATAAGCCCAACAGCAAGTCCTCCAATATGGCAGTTGACTTGCAGTGAGCTGTGGTAGTCTAGAGCACTGTTTCTCAACTTTTTTGCTCGCTGCTACCTTTTGAGTTTGATTTATCTCTGTGGCCCCACCCTTCGTAGACACTGTTACATAGGAAAAAAGGTACTTTATTTCCACACTGATTTATAATATTATTTTAACAATATAGTATTTTTTAAAATATTTTGTTTATAACATATTGTTGCGACAGCGGAAGTCGCGTGACGCTGGGAGCATACTCGCTGGAGTTTCTAGAATTATCGGGGAACCCCGCGAATGTCCGAGTGTTTGCTAGATAGATAGATAATTAGTAGGCACCGTAAGTAAAGTGTGTGAATCACTGATTTATAGCGTGTGTGAATCACTGTGATTTATAGCGCGTGTTATAAAAGTTAAGTGTATTACAAAGTTTTTATCGAGAAAGAATAAACTAGTTTTAATCAAGAAGGGACTTGTATCAAATCATCAAACAAGCAGATACGTAACAAATTCGTGTCAGAGAGTGGGATAAAAAAGAAGATGGAAACGAGAAGCGGCAAATCTAACTACAGCTTAGCATATTTGATGGCAGCAATACAGGAACAGCAAAAGAAACAAGAAGAACAAGAAAAGAAAGATTACAGCAGTTGTTGGGGAAAAAGAAAAGAAACAAGAAGAGAGACAACAGCAGTGGCAACAAAACCTGCAACAGTGGCAGCTCGAACAGCAAAATAAATAAGAGAGATTACAGCAGTTGTTGGAGGAAAAAGAAAAGAAACAAGAAGAGAGATTACAGCAGTGGTTGGGGAAGAAAGAAAATAGACAAGAAGAAAGTCTCTAACAGTTGAGAGAAAGGCAGCATACATAAATGGAAAATATTAGTAAATTTCAAAGTGAATTAAATACATTAAAGGACGATTTACTGTCTTTTACACAGGGAGGATATATTAGCCATGGGCCTAATCAGCCCCAGACAACAAGAAGCCCCTTCCAGACCTCGCAGCTAAACCCTAATGCAGACATCTTCAGTCCTGCCAGAAGTCACATTATACACATGAGTGTCAGCAATAGGGGTGATCTAGTATGAAAGAAGCCACAGGAATTCGATGGGAAGAATATAGAGCACAATTTGAGCTCC